TATATATGAGCCTGATACTCACTGGGGGTTGCAAATGAGCAAATGCACACACCTCTTCCTGTCAGGGTCACTCTCTGCACTGCACTCTGCTACCTCCAGGTGGTCTTGGAGTCAAGCCAGAGTCTCGGTAAGGCTCCTATGCCCCAGGCCCTGCTCAGGTGTCAGTCGGCCCTGAATTATTGAGATCGGAGTCTTTGTTTCTCCTTGCTCCTGGTCCTCAGTGCCCAATCCTCCATCTCTCTCCAGGCTCTGATGGCAGAGGCAGAGGAAGGAGGGGGCATCTGCCCTAACCCCTTTCCCATGGCGCAGGCAGCTATACCTGGGAGCCCAGGGCTCCCTTGTAGTCCCAAGCAGGCCTTGGCCCTGTACTACCTCATCTTCAGGCACCCTGCAGGCCTAGGCCAGCTCTGGACTGCACTTTGGCAGGTGAGGAAGCCAGATATTGCCAAGGGGTGCAGGCAGGAGCCTGATTCTACTTCCCCTCCCATCCCCACCAGGTGCAAGAGGGCCAGGGCTGTCCCCCAGGGATGGAGCTAACCACAGTACTGCTGGAGATGGAGCAGAGCCGGTGGGCCCAGGAGCAGGTAGGGGCTGACCATGGGGGTGGGGGAGGGCTGGCTGGGTGCCCCTCACACTCTGGCTCTCCACCTTCCTGCAGCTCCTCTGGGAATTGGATCTGCTGACTGGAGCAGGGCTGGGCCTCTTCAGGGCCCCTTGGACCCAGTTTGGTGGTTGGAGGGACCAGGCCCAGCGTGCATGGAGCCAGCACAGCCAGGTGAGTAGCAGGATTGGCAGGGACTTTGAGCAGCTGGTGAGTGGAGAGAGACACTGTGTGACATTGGGGTGGTTGTGGTGTGACCCCCTCAAGGTCACCAAGATGCTTGAGCTTTAGAGACTAACAGCCCTGGATTCAGAGCTCTGCTCTGATGCTCCCTGTGGACTGTGAGCCTCCATTGGCTGTAAAATGTGAACAATGGCAGATCTTTCTCTGAGGACCAGTGAACTCATCCAAACAAGGGGTTTGAGCCTCTTGCTACTTATGGGGACTAGTGTTATTCCATAGCTAACTACTGGATTGTCAAATCAACTGTGCAGTGACACTGGGAAGCCTGTCCATGTGACTGTGTGAGGGAGAACTGTGCCTGGAAGGGTCCCTGAGAGCAGAGGCACTGGTGTCTAGGGTGGCACTAAGACAAAGACACTGAGCAGCCCCTACTGAGTGGGGGGCTCCCTCCAGGGCTAGAGCTGTGCTGACCCACCAGGAGGGGGATGTTGTGGTGAGGACCCCAGAACAGAGCTAAGAACTGGGGATGTACTTCCCAGTCCCAGCTCAGCCACCAGCTGCCAGAGTAGCTTTGGGCCTGTTGGGAGCCTCTCTGCAGTGGATGGGAAGGGAGAGGGGACACACAAGGCCACTTGTGTGTCCACTTCATGAACACCAGGAGACAAGGATTATGGGGGGCAGGGAGCATCTTAGAGGCTGACTACCACACTAAAGGATGATGCCCTGTGTCCTGAGTTCCCCAAAATTTTCCAGAGTTCCAGGCTGTGGCCTTCATCCCAAACTAGGGATTCCCTGAGCCAAAACCATCAGTTCCCAGAGGGGTAAGTCTTTCTCCCAGGGACTCTGGCACTCCCTTGTTGACATACAAAGTGACCAAGAACCTGGCCTTTTCCCCCTGTCTCCTCCCACAGTCCTGCTCTACAGCCCCTAGAAGGGTAACCTCAGAATTCCAGTTCCAAAATCCAGTGGGTTTAGGGATTAGAGGAGGCCACCCCGGACTCAGAGTTTGGGTGTTGGGGTGTTGGGGACTAGGAAGACTGAAGCAAGCTCCCTCCTTTCTCCAGCACCTATGGGGCTGCTGGAGGTGCCTCTGAGGTAGCCCCTGAATCCTGCAGGATGCAGACAGCGGATCTGGGTGAAGCTGGGAGAGATGCAGACCCAAGATGGGAGGGCCCTGGCATACCTACAGAGGCCACACCTGGTATGTTGACAGGACGTGATGGGCAGCCAAGATAGCAGGGAGCCCCTGAAGTTGGAGAAACCAGATTAGATTGGGAGGCAGAGAAGTTCTCATCCCAAGTCCAAAGACTTCCATCATTTTTCACTTATTCTGCATCTTGCACCTTTCATTGGGTGCCCAGGGATGGCGAGTCAATTTTATGTGCCAATTCCATGACTGGCACCAGTTGTCTCAGATGCTGTGCCCATTAAGATTTTTAAGCTAAACTGGGGCTCTGTTAAGTGGACAGGAAATGACCATCACTGACTGCCCAGGGAGAAGGAAGTGGAATAGCAATTCTAGGCCACCTGTTTGCCACCCTTACACCAGGCACTGGGGACATATGGAGAATAATAGATATCTTGAGTCTTTGAGATCAAAGCCCAGTGATAGAGCATGACACTAAACAGGCAATTAGAATTCAATGGGATGGACTCTATGGGTATGAGCCTGTTAATTTAAAGGAAACAGACTCAAATTATTTGTTAAACAATAAACCTAGCAAAGTCATAAACTTTTAGTTGTCCCATCACACACATGAAAGAAGAGAACTGCCAATGATTCTCTCCTGATTGACAGATAAATTTTTACAAGTATTTTATCTCTTGGGAAGACAGAGATGTCAATTCACACTATTACCTGGGAAATAAACTCTAGGAATACAACAGGTGAGTATCTCAGAGACAGGTGTAGGAGGCTGCTTTCACAGTTCTGCAGCAATCAGAAGTTGCTGAAGTCTCTCCTGAGACTCCTTTGTTCACAAAACCCTTTGAAATTCAGATCTAGTTCCACAGAAACCACACCCCTTTGGTTACTGTTATGAATATTCACAGGTCTCTGCATTGCTTACCAGAGAAAAATGCAATATTCTTGTGAAAGGTTTTTAATACTTATGAAAGCAGGTTCCTTCAATTAGTTTTATGGATGCAGAACATCTCTCCTTCCTCCACAGCTGCAGGAGCAGTGACAGCACATCCCTTTTTTAGATTTCTTTGTTCATTATGAAGACTTGCAGTTTTTTAGGCCAGGCTCTGACTTAAAATTTTACTTAAGTTTCATTTGATTTTGTTGCCAGAAAGAAAAAAAATGGGGGGGGGGGGCTAAGGAGGATTTTAACAACAGGAAAAAGCATGGCACACACAGCGGGTTTCTTCTGTGAACCTGAACACACACACCAGGACAAAATGGGGATATCCTTATGCAGAGGGAGCCCCAGCAAACGGGCCTTTCTCACTCCCAGGCATTGCATAGTGGCCAGCCTTGGCTGGGAGGATGAGGGAGATGGAGTTGGCTGTTGGCAGACACACCTGACAAGCAGATGCAAGGCAGGTGATGGGAATAAACGTGGAATAATAAACTGTGACAGCCATGAAGTTCAAGCAGCACTCTCAGGGCTCCATGGTCCTTCATGCACTGGGAGCCGCTTAGGCTTCCAGATTACAGTTCAGGGGGGAATGTGTGTGAGAAGCTGGGACATGATCAGGGAGTGCTCTCTCAACATTGATCCCTCTCTCTTAGGTCACTTAAAAGAGCTGAACCCTACTACCACTAGCTCTGGGGACTCTGGACCAGGACCCTCTCAGGTTGGGACAGCAGGAATGGAGCTTGCCAGGGAGGAGGCTGCGGGATGAAGTGGGGCTGCCTCCTGCAGCCAAATGGGAAAAGGGATCATTGCTGGAGCACCTCTTACACCACATAAAAGAGGTTTAGTAAATTCAGCAATCAGGCAAGGACTAGTCACTGGGGTCTCCAGGCTCTTCTAGGGGAAGGGCCCTGGCTTGGGGATTCCCTCTCAAGCCTGGGCCCAAAGTGCTTTTCGTTCCCAGGATCTGGCCCAGAGGGAAGACAGGAGCCAAGAGGAGCCAGCACCAGCGATGCAGAGGCCCCACCTACAGAGCTGGCCAGGGAGAAAGCTGACACAGAAAGCTTCAGAGCCCTCTGTCCTGGCCTTACAGTGCCTGCCAGCACCCCAAAATACCCCACAGGGGCTGGGCTCTGGCCTAGGTCAGGAGAGAGAAACTCAGAAACTGCTGAGTTTGGACCCTCTTCAGAGTCAGAGACAGGACCACCCTATGGGCCAGACAGAAAAGACCCCTCAGGGTCAGCGAGGGAACACCTCCCAGTGGGGGAACAGAGAAGTATCTCAGAGTCAGAGAGAGAAGACATTCCCGGGTCAGAGTGGGGAGGCACCCCAGGATGAGAACAAAGAGATTCCTCAAAGAAAAAATAGCCCTAAGTGCCAGAGAAAGGAGATTGTGCAGGGTCAGGAAATGAAAACCCTTCAATCTTGGGAAGCCCCTCTCTCACAAGCATGGGAGGTGACTCAGGGAGAAGCGCCTGTACGGGCTCGGGAAAGGGAGAGTCCAGGTCGCTGGGGAAAAACCACCCAGCGAATGCAGGCCAAGCCCGAAGGCCGGAGTCAGAAGGCGGATGAGGCGGTGATAAAGCCGGGGGCCGCCCAGGATGGGGCGTGGGCTCCTCTCCTGGCCCCCAGGTCCCTGTCCCGACCACAACTCACAGGCCCAGGAGGTGGGATGCTGGCGGCACTAAACACCGAGGGCTGTGGGCAGCAGGCTACCCAAGGAGGCGGCCACCGTCCCGCGGAGCAGGAGGTGGGTGAGGTGAAGCTCCCGGGCGCGCTCCGGGAGCTTAGGGGCGTTCCTGGGGAACCCAAAGCTTCGAGGGCTGCGTGGCCTGCGCCCCTGGGCGGGGAAAAGGCACCGGCGGGCGTGAGCGTGGCGCAGCAGGAGATGGCTCTGCAGCGGCTGCTGGAGCTGCACGGCGCGGCCAGGCGGCGACGGCGGCAGGAACGCGAGCAGCAGCGGCTCCGGGTGCGTACCCGCGCGGGGCCGACCTAGTCTCCTGCGGCTGGCGGGCGGGCAGGGCTCGGAGCTGACTGCCGCCTCTCCAGGTCTTGGAACGGCTCCGCATCGCCAGCCACCGCCACTGCCGAGTTCACCCTCTGGGGCTCCCTTCCAGCCCGGCTCAGCTCCCACCACAGGCAAGAAGAGCCCGGGGTGAAGGCGGGGGTCCCTCCGGACCTGGCCCCGGGAGGGGCGGGGCGGGGCGGGGCGGGTGTGTGATGCAGTTGCTACCCTGGCCAGTGACGCCGGCTCAGCCATCTGCCTACCTAGGAGGACGTGGCCGGGCGGTGGAGCGCCCTGCAGAAGCAGCTAGAACAAGTGCACCTGGAAAGGACCCGGTGGCTGCGGGCGCTCAGGGCCAGGTGAGGGGCGGGCAGGGAGCTTTGTGGGGAGTGATAGCAGTCCCTTTTCCCTGACATCTGGATGACAGACCACTGCCTCCCCAGGAATACCCGGAACTTCCAGGAGCTACTGTGGCCCCCTGGCGCTGAGAAGCCTGCACCTGGTGAATAGCGCCCACACTTCCCGATGGGCTCTGGGCATTGCTGGGTCTCTGAAGGGATAATTAAGGAGATAGGAGTTAAGGAAAAGGCAAAGACGTCTACCGCCAGGTCAGAAAGGCCTAGAACGCAGCTTCAGGGCCAGGGAGAGCAGACCAGAAACACAACGCAGCTTCGCCCTACCAGGAGGCCTGTTATTTTTTTGTGCCTCCCACAGGCCAAAGGTCAGAGGGCCAGATCCCGGGGATCCAGCATTGAAAAGGCCCCATTCTTCCGGAAGAACGACTCTATGTGGCACATCTTGCATGAGACCAGTTCTTGCTTTGCTGGGGTACCTTGGGAAAAGATGTCAGAGGCCAGGAATGAGTTCCTGGGGAAGGAACTCAGCACAGAAGCTGTCTGCATAGCACTAGGACTCTGCCTGTGTTGGATCTACTTTTTGTGAATAAATAAAAAGCTTTTGAGGAGTAGCACTTCAGGAAAATACAGGCTGGATCCTGGACATTGCATCAGTGGCAACATGGCTAACCTGACAGCTGTCAGCCATCATCATCCCCTGCTTCAAGATCCCCTGCCAGCCCTGTTTGTCCCAGGATAGACTGCAGAGACAGGGCCTTCCACCTCTGCTCCCCTTCTTCTCTCTTAGGGCCCTAGGGGAAATGTGGGAGCTTTTTGGGTAAACTTTCAACTGTGCTGACCCCCCACCACCCACCTTTCCTTCACAGGCACTCAAACAGCTGGAAAAAGATCCAGGACTAAGTGGATCTACTTTTTGTGAATAAATAAAAAGTGATCTCCCTTGAGAGTAGTGGCTCTCAACACCACCCAGCAAACCAGCAGCACTTTTGGAAAACCAAAACTGAGCCGGGGTTAGGGAGCAGACAGCCTTTCGGCCACACCATTTCCACCTATGCTTGACTCCACCCTCAGGTCAGATTTCAGCAACTCCAGCTCTCCGGGTGACCTCACCCTATCTCTGGGCTTTAAGTTACATTTATATTCCAGTAAGCCCTGAATTTACTTCTCCAACACTGACCTCAATCCTGATGTACAGACTTTCTCCATCCTGAATGGTACCGCAAGTAACCCATACTTGCGGTACCATTCACAGCACAACATCTTCTCCCTTAGATATTTCTCCTTCCAGATATTCCTCCATCCTGATGTCCAGCCTCATTGGCACTTCGAGCCTACGATGGCCTAGCCCGTTGTGTCTTCAGCCCTACCCTTTTCCAATCTGGGTGTTGCCAAGTTTCTCTCTTCCTTTCCCTTCCAGTCAACCCATCCATGTCTCCCTCCCAAACATTCCAAATTGGCTTCAGTTCTACTGCTAATAATCCCTCTATCTGAAGCCATGTCTTGCCTAGATAACTCAAAACAGATGCCTAATTCACCTGCCAGATCCTATAAATTCCCCTGAAAAGCTATTACCTACAAAAAAAAAAAAAACATTTTAAAAAGCACTGATCTTCTTAAAACCTTCCTCCAATTAGAATAAAATCCGAACCCCTTTCTTGCCACTTGCTCAGCATTGAGGGCTTCAGAAAGGCCTTTCTGGATAATTCAATCTAAAGAAACACATGTCCCCCACCACACCCAAGAACTTTGTCCTCCCTGGACATTTCCTTGTTGTTTGTAGACTGACCCTCCATTACAATGTCTGCTCCCTGGCCCATGGCAAGTGCTCTGTTTGTAATTAATTTCCACAAGGTTGGGGCTCACCCAGCTGCCAGCCATATGTGAAGTTGGTGGTGACCGGGAAGAGATAGCGCTTCTCTGGCACGTCCAGTTTTCGGGTGTTGAGGTAGTGATAGCGCCCCTGGGAGTCATGGGAGATGCCTTCATACAGCAGAGCCCGAGTTGCAGGCAGTACTGGGTACATTTCTGTCTGAAAAGGAGCCTCAGAGACAGGGCTAGGGGGCTTGGCAGGGACTGCTTTGGGGACAGGTGGCGGTGAGACTCGGGCCTTGGGTGTCAGGGTGGGCAGTTTGAGGGGCAGGCGGGCTGCAGCCTTAGCCTTCTGCTTGGCCCTCACCAATAACCCATACTTGCGGTACCATTCACAGCGCAACATCTTTTCCCTTAGATATTCCTCCTTCCAGAAGTTTTGCCACACTGTGTCCAAGTTGAGCTGCCGTGCCATGGCGCAAGGGAACGAGCAGTATCAAGGTGCCTGTAGCTAAGGGGTGAACGTAGCAAGCAGAGTTCTTCTGACAGCAGATGGCTCCCTGGGACAGTCACTTGGCAACCAAGCCTCACCTCACACAGGGTAGGGTTCTACTTGCCCTGCCCTCAGTGGACCTCACATGCCTCCCTTCCAGCAACCTGGAAGGTTAAAAACCTTCACCCCAAAACTCCTGTAGGATCAAAACCCAGTCTAGAATTACAGGCTTCCAGGTTTCCTGTGCTTTCTGCTTCTGTCCCTTGGATCAGGCTCCCTCCTCACCCCATGCAGACTGAGGCAGGGGGAACCAGGGACTAGGCTCAGCCATGCCCAGACCCCCTTCCCTGGTCCTCTTTGATCCAGAAAGTTAGTCCTCGTTACAGCCTCCATCCAGGTCCAACTCCTCTGCCTGGCTCTTTGGCAGAATTTTTTCCATCCTTGCCAATCTAATCTCCCCCAGAAGCCTCACCCTACATGTGTTCTTTCCAGCACCCAACCCTATATGAAGAGAAGCAAGAATATTGTTTTAATTTAACATCAATAACGACACCGTGTATCATCAGCACAGGGAAGAAGTAATGGAGAGAGAAGATGGTTGGGCTTCCTGTTCCCTAACCAGCCTGGATTTTAATGGCAGAGCCTACAAATACCTCACCCAGCCTCTCAGTGGAGTGGGAAAGGAGTGTGAATTGAAAACTAGAGGCTTGAAACAAAGGATGGCAAGCCTGGGAGAGGCCTGGCAACAAGCAAGGGGCTAAAGGGCTGGGGGGAGTCCCCTAGCGCAGGTCTTCTGCAGTGAACATGCCCTTGGCCCTGCGCAGGATCGAGTCCTTGGCAGCATCATAGGGGTGCTCCTTGGATGGGATCTCCAGGACAGCTGGAATGGAGCGCTGGTGGGCATCAAGGGCGTGCCGCACCATCTCTGCGATGTACTGGTTGATGAGGATGATGCCAATGTCGTCCCGGTTTAGAAACTGCCTGTGGAGAGAGATGAAATGGGAGTCCAGGGCAGCCCAGGGGGCTGCTGTCTCCCCTACCCAACAGCCCACTCAGGGTTATGAGGAAATGAAAGTGACCTGGAGGCACAGAGGACAAGAGGGAAAGACTGCTACCCTAAACCCATTCTCAATCCTATCCTTCCTTGAATGAGGCAATTCATTTAAGAGCTCAGGACCATGTTGGTCAGGGTTGGTTTCTACCTCCCTTGCTCAGAGAGAGAACTGGTAATGAAGATTAGGGTGATGCCAGTGTATTCCATATGCCGCCTTTGTATAGGAAAGGGAGAGGATAAGAATATATGTATCTGCATAGAGATTCCAGAAAGATAAAGAAGAAACTAAGTGGTTATCTATAGGGGTGGAGGAGGGAGACAAAGAGATACAAGGACTGTGGTGTGATACTCCTTAATTTAGACATTTTAAATATTATTTTTTTAAAATAGGGCTGATGAGGGCTGGGGATGTAGCTCAGTTGGTAAAGTGCTTGCCTCGAATGCACAACGTCCTGGGTTCAAACCCCAGCACCACACCAAAAAAAAAAAAAAAAAAAAAAATAGGGCTGATGAGACCACTGAAGGCCTAAAGTTCCCCACTGATGAGGGTGGGGGATGAGTCAGAGGGAACACTGGCATGAGCCAAGGACACAGATAGGAAACTCAGCAATGAAGGAATCACACTTTCCAAAAATAAAACTTGCCACTGCAGCCCTCCTTTATTGTGATCATCCATCTATTCATTCCCTTTTTATTCATTAAAAACTACTGAGCACCTACACTGGACTAGGCACTGGGGTAGGTTAAACTCCATCTCTGAGATCTCTTATGCCGGAAACATGGGAAATTCTTTTTAGAGGGGTGGTACCAGGGATTGAATGTAGGAGTGCTTAACCACTAACCCACATCCCCAGCCCTTTCAATTTTGAGTCAGGATTTCACTAAGTTGCTGAGGGCCTTGCTAAGTTGCTAAGGCTGACCTAAACTTGAGATCCTCCTGCCTCAGCCTCCCCAGTTGCTGGGATTACAGGTGTAAGCCCCCATACCCAGCTGTAAAACTCTTGAAGTGAAATTTGTCCTCCAATGACAACTTGGGTCACTTTACCAAACTGCTTAGAGATCAGCAGACAGCAGCCACCCAGGTCAGGGCCTATTACACACCAGCCAGCAGGAACCAGTCTCAGCCAGCAGTTCTGGGTTGGGCTGTTTAGGGGAAACAGGTGAGTGGTTTCTTCCTGATTCTGGCACAGAAGCCCTGGAGAAGGGTTGACCAAAAGACTAGGAGGCCAGCTTTCTCAATCCTAACCACCAGGACACCTCCTGGATTAAAGGGCATGCCTGCATCCACACTTTGAAGTTGTCATCCTTGACCCAAGGCACAAGTGAGGACTGAAGTATATGGCTAGCAGAATCCAGATGTTCAGCCCACTGTGCTTAGAACAAAGGGAAATTCTAAGGTAGACTGAGGATTGCACAGTGTGTGTACTGGTTTAAGAGAAGCAGAAAGGGCACTGGGTTCCTATTCCAGCTCTGCGGTTCCCTTGGGCATGTGCTTAACTTCTCTAAGCTGCAATTTTCTCATTTACCAGTGGGAATAACCCCTTCCTTACAGGACGATTATGAGCCTCAAAGGGAGATGACTGTACAAGAAAGCGCAAGCCCACTCCCTAGGCTCACAGCGAGCGTACGGTTGAAGCATTGCAAGGCCCTAGGTGAAAGTCTGAGACCCCGGAAGAGGCGCTGAGGCTGGCGGTCGCCACCGGCTGGGCGTCCAGACGTCCAGCTATGGCAGGGGCAGGTCATAAACTGTTCCTCCTCTTTCCTGACACACGGTCATGTGAGGGGGAACTCGGTGACCTGAGAGCCCCGCTCATACAGAGTCCCCAAAGAGGACTTGGGGCGCAGAGGCTTCTGCTCCAGGAGGAGTGACCCACATTCCCAACGGGGTCTGACACCTCGGTCCCCGGCCGCCTCCGCCCTCTCCCAGACCCCGCACCGGCAGCAGACGGGCCCGCTCGGCCTCGCAGGGTACCGTACCGGAAAGTATCTTCAATCTCATTGATGGTTGTATCCTTCTCCACCACCAGGAAATTAGGATGGCGGTTCTTGTTAAGCTCCCCTATGCCGCCCAGTAGGAAGCCAGTCACCGTGTCCTCGTCACCAATCACCGCGATTAATTTCCCTCTCCCCGCCATCCCCACAGGTAGGTAGAGCTCTCCTGGAGCGCCAGAAGTCACGGCAGCCCCGCCCCCGCAGCGCGACGTCGAGCCGGCATCGGCCCCTCCCTTCAGACATGCGCAGTTCCCCACACCGCCTCCCGGACATGCGCGTTAGCAGCAACAAGCCTCACCCTGAGTACGCCGCCTGCGCTCTACAGAGAGACCCGTACCAGGGGACTACGATTCCCAGAAGGCTGCACGGCGCACGGTTCTCGGGTTCCTTCGTTCCTTCCTTTGCTGGTTCAAACCTAACCCTGTTAGACCCCGAGACCCCAGGGAAGAAAAAGCACTGCTTGGTGTCAAGGGCAAGGTCCGCGTCTGGACCTTGTATGCATGTACGTAACAACGACATGGTTAACAATTACTCAATACATACTTGTCAGTTAGTAAAGAAATAAACAAGTGGATGATGATACTGTCCGGTAAGATTGAGAATCAAGAAACAGACAATTACAAAACGTTGTGTTAATTCCTAAAATGTGAGAAGTACATATAAAGCACAGATCCGTGGTAACTAGCCCCCGAGGAGAGATAGCCCTCAAAGGACACTTCCCTAAAAAGCTGAGACCTGAAGGACCAGCAGGGTGAAGGGGGATAGAGGACAAGAGGGTGTTCTAGGCACAAGTACAGCATATGCAAAGGTTTGGTAGCTCTAGAGCAAGAAGGGCATTCAAGAAAAGTTAAAGAATCTAGAAGTTTTCTGAAGATAGTTTCCTGAAGCCACTGAAGAATTTTATGGAAAAGGAGGATATCACGAGACTTATGTTAGAGCTGTGGCTGGAACTGTGCTGTTGTAGAGGCAAGACTACACCAGGAGAAACCAAACTGGGAGAAAGGGTGAGGGAAAGACTAGGAGGCAGCATTCTCAATTCTAGCCACCAGGATACTTCCTGGATTAAAGGGCATGCCTGTACCCACACTTTGAAGATGTCATCCTTGACCCAGGGAAGGAAGTGAGAACTTGAAGTAGAATCCAGATGTTCTGCCCACTGTGCTCAAGACAAAGGGCAATTCTTTGGCTGGAACTCTGGTACTGCAAATGGAGAATGTGGAGAAGTAGGTGGAGTAGAGAGATATTTAAAGCCACAATGGACAAAGTTGGGTTTTGGATTGGATGTTTGGGGAACAAGGTAGAGAGACCCAGGTGACTTCCAGGGTTCTTGTCTGTGCAACTAGGTAGATAGAAACAATATTACTGAGGGAATGAACCTTTGTGAGACTAACAGGGTGGAAGCCTTTTTTTTTTTTTTTTTTTGAGGTGATCTACCACTGATTTACATCCCCAGACATTTGTTTATTATTTATCTATTTATTTATTGAGACAGGATCTTACTAAGTTGCCCAGGCTGGCCTTGAACTTGAGTTTCCCCTGCCTTAGTATCCAGAGTAGCTAGGATTACAGGTGTGCGCTATTTCTGGGATTACAGGTGTGCACCACTGCACCTGATTAGGCCACATTTTTTCCTCTTTCAACAAACCCCCCTGGTGTTGGGCATGTGGTTTTGTGAGTTTAGGGTACTTGATGTGAATGCACATGAATTCAACTTTCTGCTCTGTTACTTTGAGGTTTGATTTTGGACTCCACTGAAATTCATGGCCTTGGTTTATCCAAATAATAGTAGATCCACTTAGCAGAGCTGTTTGAGGATTAAGTGAGAAGAGGCCCACAAATGCTCAGCACCCAGTGCCCCACTGTGGTTCTGTAAGAGCAGCTGGGCTGGGGATCTATAAATGCATCAACCCTCAGGAGGAGGGCAGCAAACTAGCTGGGAAGACCCTCAATTTGGGGTTGTGGGGAAATGGGGAGCAGAGAATGAGGAGGATGTGAAAAAGGTTGTTTGTAAAGCAATTGGACCAGTGCCTTGGCTCTGAACTGGCCCTCAACAAGTGGTTGGATATTTAAAAGAACAGATCTGTCTTCAATGGACTTGTCAGGTAAAGGGACAGCTCTGCATTCATCACTATTCACTCTTAATTCAACCATCAGTTATCACACATGTCACAATTAGGGGCTGAAAACCAAAGATTGATAAAACATGATTTCTGTCCTCAGGAGATCCCTGCAGGACTAAGGGGAAGGTGGGAAATCTCAGGGGAGAGCAGGGACATGCAGTGAAGAGAAGCTCTGGAAGAACCTTTTGGGGGGGCTTATTCAGAATGAGGATAGGGAAGGAACCTCCCCTTGGGAATAGTAAGGAAAAGAAGAAACAGGAGTAGAGGCAGACAGGCCACTAAGGGGTAGGGAGGAGGCAGCAGGAGCTAGGGCCACATGGTTGGGTCTTTTCTGGTATCCCCACTACCAGATTCCTGCAGACAGATCTACTGCAGGGGGATCCATTGAATAAAGTATGTCTCTACCCTCTTCTTCCACTGAGTTGCTCATTTATGTATTCATTCGCACCTGAATTAGGCTTCTAGGGCCAGGGGTCTCGGGCTGGTAGGGAGACCTGGTCATGGACAGGGTAGTAAATGTAGCCAGAGATGTGACCCTGGGCAGTGTGGAGGCCTGGGGCACTGATCTAGGAACAAGGAGAGGCCCAGGAAAGCTTCCTGTCGGCTAGGAAAATGAGGGTGTAGAGGCAAGGGTGTTTCTGGACAGAGAGACTAGACTGTAGCTGAGGTTCCCAGGAAACTAGAGACCATGAAGGGGGTTGGTGGTGGAGGGTGCAATGGGGGAGTGAGCACTGTGCTGTACTCACATGGCAGGAAGGCTGTCAACTGAATGGACATGGGGGAGGACCTTAGGGGCCTTTGTAGAAGAGGAACCTTTAGCAGCACCTCTCTAGCTGCAGCATGGAGGGTGGCTAGGAGCTGGCCAGGGCCCAGAGACTGATTCAGAGGCTGATGCCAGAGTCAAGGAGGAGGCCTGAACCAGTCAGGGCTGGAGGTGTAGATGCCACAGACCTAGTATGGGCCCAGGACCTGGAGTGAGGGTTCAGGGTTCCCAGGCACCCAGCCTGCCTGCTGTGCAAGGCTTCTTTACTGTTTGACTCAGCGGCCACTGGTCCTAATTTGAATAATACTCACCAGGTTAGGCCTTCCAGTAGCCCTAGGGCAGTCTTTCAGAACCCTGTCCGCTTCCCTCTACCATCCACCAACCTTCCAGCTAGCTGACGATTGAGCCCCACCTCCTCTCTTGTCCTTCAAGCTTCCTGCCAACATCCCAGACCTTCCGCCTGCCCCAGGCCCTTCACCTCGGCCTGGGTCAGTCCTCCTGGGAACAGCCATCCAGCCCCTGCCTCCCTGGGGCCTGATTTAGTGTCAGTGAACTAAGAAACCAGCCTTAAAGAGCACACGCACAAGGAACAGCCATGCCTCTGCGACAGCCGCGCTTTATTTGGAGTTTTCCACCTAAGTGGCTCCCAGCTGAGCCACATGATATGTGCAAAAAGTCCCCCCAGAAAGCTGGGCCTCGCAATGGGTAAAAAAGGCCCTCACGGGGCAGAGCTGTGCAACTGTAAAAAACAAACAAACAAACAAAAAAAAGGCAGAGAGAGAAATCAGTTTCCCAGGAAGCCTGGCTTGGGCGAAGTATGTATTGCTTGAAGCCAGTCCAACGTAGCACTTGTTCAGGGACTGTTTTCTTCTCTGATTGTGCTTTCTTTTCCAAGTCCTTAACACTCTGGGGTTGTGGCCACCAGAGTGGCTAGACGCAGTCCTCAGGGACCAGGGCACCTGGCTGGCAGTGTGGTTTGAAGGTGATGACTTCTCACACATAGACATCCCTAACAGTGTTCCCCCGCTGGTCTTGGCTCCACCAAGAAACTCAGGGCTTCCCAGGTTGCCATCAAGCCACATTCAAGGGAGGGACACTGCCCTAAGACAGACAGGCCCTCCACCCCGCAAGGACACAGTAGGGTGGGAGGCTGTGCCATTCACATCACACCCAAGATAGGTGTTTGCAGTGTCTGACTCTGTGCGTGTGCATCTGGGTGTGGCACGTGTGTGTGTGTGTGTGTATGTGTGTGTATGTGTGTGTGTAATTGGCCAGAGGTGAGGGCCGAGGCTGGGAGAGGCACTTCTGGGATTCAGGGCACATTGACTTTGAAGGGGCTTCCAGGGACACTTTCATCACCCCACTTGACAATGAGGATGTAGTCCCCTTTCTCCTTGACAGTGTAGGTGACGTTGTACACTCGGTTCCCCATGTGCTTCACATACACCTCCTCGCAGGGGGTCTTGGGTCCATGCACACCCACCATCATCATGTTGGTGCCTGGAGAAGGAGGCAGAGAGGGAGGACTCGCATCAGCATCCCCCAAGCCACACCCCACTTTCCCAGGGCTCCTTGATCCCACCCCACACTTCCAGGCAAGCCCATCCTGAGGGATAGCCTCATCTCCCCCTGGAGCCTGCCTGCTTTGCTGCAGTCCACTGTGAAGGAGTTCTTCTGGCCCACAAAGGCCTGGGACAGCCCTGGGCCCCGCGTCACCACTTTGCTGGCATCTGAGGAGAACTTAGGGATGGAACTATAGCTGGAGCCACGGCTTGAAGATGACTTGGTCACAGTCTCCACCAGAACTGTGGATGTTTCATGAAGGCTGTGGCCTCCAGACAGCCGGGGACCTGAGAAGCAGAGTGCGTGGTCATGAGCCTGGTCAGAGGGGTTTCCCTAGACTGTAGGCCCTCAGTCAGCACTGACAGCCTTCTGGTCCTGTATCATGTGCTCCCACCTCCTGTCCAAACTATGGCATTTGAAGAGCACAGCCCCATTCCAAGTTAAATTTCCATGCTACCAGTGCCAATTCCTGCTTCCCTCTAGGTCTTGGCCTCAGATAGCTCCATCTCTCATCCTCCTAGCCTTGGTCTGAAAACTTAAGTTAACCCACAGAGTAACTTTTATTTTAAAAAGGAATGTATGTCCAGTTGGATGTGGTGGTGTACATCTGTAATCCCAGCAACTTGGGAGGCTAAGGCAAGAAGGTTGCAAGTTCAAAGCCAGCCTCAGCAACTTAGCGAGGCCTTAAGCAACTTAG